TCTCTCTGAAATGTCACGTAACAAAATCTAACATACGTATAAGACTGTTGCTTCAAATACCGAGACGAAGGCGAAGCTGTTGTGCCTCTATTTCTTTGTTGTGTAACTTTGACGACAGAGTTGATACTTTTTCTTCCAGTTCTTGGCAATACTTTTTCGTCTTTGAACTAAAAACGAGTTAAGTGGAGGAGATGGAATGAGACATATCTCTGCGGAGGCGTACGACTGAACAGAGTCATCCGAGGATCTTTTCGATTTCTCCAATTCGTTGATGCGCTTCTCGGCTGTTAATAACTTGTCGAAAAGTGATTGATTCATCTTTGAGAGGTTTGCACACCGCTCTTCAACGCGTTTCAAATCCAGTTCAAGCTAAACGTGACCTAATTTTATTACATGGCATCTAACTTTTAACGTAATTAAAGGTTTACATTTTATACCAACTTTTATTCAGTTATAAAATGGGTCAAAGCGAAGAACTGCAGGAGTAAAGCAGAAGCGCGCATCTGATAGTATGGCGATGTGTTGCGCCCCTTGTCACTGCCATACAAGAATGTCGCGTTGTCGTTGCTGTTCTCAGGTCGACGAATTGCTACGCGCTGCTTGGCTGGTTGTGCCGATTAATTAGCAGCTAATCTTAGAAACTGTATTTTGTTTAAAAAAGATGGCTCCTTGCGAGGCAGTTTGGATCAGTGTCGCCTTAATAAACCACTGTCAGTGAGCCAAGAATGTCAAGACAATAAAGTTCGTGGCGTCTTCGATAAACTACATGGTGTGAGAGCAAAACAGCTGACCTGCGGTCGCTTCCACGTGGGTGAACGGTTTGAGTTTATACATCATGTTCGAATATGGTTGAATGAGTTGTCAGAAGGAATTTCTTCAATCGAAATGAGAACTGTTATTTTTGAACGAATGCAAGTTTTCACAGTTTTATTACTCATTTTAGTGTGATTAGCAAATCCGGACACTCAAACCTGAACATCTACTGCCAACATTTCATGATAAGTACAATGTTCTGATATCCATTTTCAACGGGGTATGTTTAACATTTAGAAAACCGGAACGAGTCCATTCAGCATCAAGTCACATAAAAGCAGTGAAGTGTTCAAGGAAGGCGAACAGTGATCTGATTAAAAGATGGCCAATCTAATTCTACAGATTGCTACCACTCTGAATCGTCCAATAACTGGTCCCAATAATTCAAATGAATGAAATTATTCTTTAGCAAACACGGTTCAGAACTGTATTTTCACCAAATGCTTCTGCATAAGCGTATGGCAGGATTATAGAACGTAATATACCAGCCGTTCAATTCAAGTATAATGTAGACACAAGAATGACATTCATAGTTGACGCTTGTAAAACCTGTGCTGTGTGTTCGTCCTGTACCATGCTGTCTACATCGCATTATGGCTGGGACTGAACGGATTTTCAACAAACGGTTGGTCACTCTTTCGCTCTGTCATCTTTCGTCTATTTTGTTCGGTACTTTTGATTTTGGACGCCCCTCCCAAATAATCCTCAGCTCAGAGTATGTTATCATATATTGTACGTTTTTCATTCCAGTATACTCATTTTATTTCATTTCGCCGTTAAACGTTTCTTCATTTTTGCGAAATGGTGCCTACAATACTTTCGTTGATCCGCCAACGTTGGTTCATTTACTCCAGTAATTGCTTCTATGCCCTTCGTTCAAGAGCTACAAAAAACAATTCTTCCAAAATATTTCAAGAACACTACTGCCATTAGTCGTTTCTTAATGCAGCATAGAGACAAACAGGAATATGCTGTAGGATGGCAACTGTCTGCATTCTACGAAGTCCCATGGCCGTTAAACAATAATACTTTACTTGCTCAATGGGACATTATCTTTTTTCTGTTAGTCTTTATTTCATAGCTGCATAATTTCAGATTTTTGGTTGTTAGCTTCTAGCGTGTGCTCGAGTGCGATTTTGATCTGTTTTGTACTTTGCGATAGGCGTAAAATTCTGATGTATTTTCTTTCTTGCTGGAAAATTTAATTCTTGAACAATCTTATCGAAGCAGTAAGTTATTCATTCATTCACTATTCATCAGAAGATGGTGAGCAAAGACAATGACTTGCCCAAACACCAGTGCTTGCACTAAAACAATGGCTGGGTTATCTCCAGCGCAGACTATATATGGAGATACCGAAGCAGAATAATAGAATTAGGAGGCCATTTTGTTGCCTTTTATGAACTTTTCTAGTAACTGAGCAGAAACTAGTTGTTATGCCGCATTAGCTAACTGCATAGGCCTTCCTAAATCTGCACGCAGCGTTCGGGCAGAAAACTGAATGTCGTAACTGCAGCTATGGCAGATCTCCCTGAAATAAACCATGAACACTTCGTTGTACGTTGCTTTGCAAGGGTATATTTCCTTAGACAACACCATAGCGATAAAACTGCCCCTACAAGCAGGGAAGAGATAAGTTGTTGAAAGATGAGAGTCTGCACCTCGATCATCCTTGTCTCTGTATATCAGAATGATATACGCCTTTTAATTCTCTCACATATTCCATGGATATTCAAGATAATAAAACGCGTGCAGCAAACTTATTGATTTAACTGATCATACAATACGTCGTCCGAATCTACTGCCATGCGCACGTCACGCTCGTTTTGTAACCAGTGTCCCGAATGTTTCGAAAGATAGTGTTTCTGCTGAACTTCTAAAAAATATCTTCCAATGTGGCGATCAGATTTGATGAATCTTGTTTCGAATGTTTAAATAAAAAAATAAGTACCGATAACAACATTTTAAAGTTTCTGCCAAAGTGGATCACAGCTTTCGTCAACCTTATTCATGAACCCCTCTGGTGCAGATACGTCACCTCATGTGCTCAGTATGATTCTGTGCGTAGATTTTATGTATTCGCTTCAAGTATTCACAAGACAACTATAACATGTGCCTCTCTCTGCATTATTCTACATACTTCTTCTTACGGAACAGCATATTCCAATGTACCTACAGTTTAAACTGCAACGCTGATAACCATTGAACTGTACATAGAGTTGTTAGGTGTATTGTGCATGGCTACTGAACCCCCACAGAATGCGACAGTGGTCCATAACGTGCCCCACTGTTTGCACCTAGCTATATTAACAGAATGGTGACACTCACTCCAGACCTTGGCAGGAAATGTATCGGTCTCTGCCTTGTTAAAACAGACGTGAACGTGACCAACTGTCATCAGAACAAGACGAAGCCTAGGGCATTTTTTCTTGAATCATCAGCAGGCCGTGCTTTGAACATCACATCTTGTCAAAGATTCAGTCAGTCAAATGTTTATGTAGGGTCAGTTAACAACGAAAAAAAATTGATTCGAGAAGATTTCTGTAATTTCAATTCAATAGAACAGATCAGGCTGACTTCCTGGGGAATCGGTATATTTGAATCTGTCAGAATCTTTACATATTCACATCAGAAACACTTTCGTCTAATAGAATTTTACAAAGATGAAGTCAACACCCATCATACTTGGTGATGATAAAGAACTTAAACATACTATAATGCAAAAAGGTTCGGCATGTCATCAAATAAGTGAAACAAAATTGGGATCCTAGCGAAGATGGCATTACAATGAAGATCATCGAATCAGGAGGTGAAGCACTGAAAACGATACTGGCGCACTCGTTTTCACACTCTTCAGAAGAACTGAAATTTCCAAACAACTTGACCGCAGCATCGATAATTCTACTGCACAAAAACAGACACAGACAAGACATGAAGGTCTACAAACCAGTCAGTCTCTTATCAATCAACTACAATATCTTCATCAAGGTATAGACGAACAGACTTCAAGAAAATCAGGACGCGCAGCCAAAACAGCACAGGATTCAGAAAAGGATTTAGCACAACGGATCACTTTAGGTGGTAGAGCATGTAATTCAGAAAAGCAATGAATATGACAGTCCTCTCTGTCTGGAGTACTCCAATTTTGAGATGATTTTCGACTCAGTCTACACTCGGTGTGCACTGCATTCCTTGTAGAGCCAGGTAATCGAGAAAAGATACAGAGATCTCATCGACATGATTCATAAGAATGAACTGCTAGTGTGAATCTTCACACTGAAAACACAAGCTATTTCAAAATCCGAAAGGGCGTCCAAGAGGAAGACGCAATATCACCTAAATCATTCACAGTATCTATAGGAAAGGGTTTAAAAACATTTCGCTAGGAAAAGCAACAGGCACAACTTAAGTCACATGCGGTCTGTGGATGACATTCTAGTCCTCTGAAGATCGCCAGAAGTGGACCAGTAGCTCATGAAGAATCCATGAGCTGAACGATGTCAGAACCAAAGTAGGACTGAAAATAAATCTGAAGAAGATTCCGGTTATATTTAAGGTATGTGCAACCCCACGAATTGTTGAAATCAACAGTGTTAGAACTGAAGCTTGAAGAATGTAAAAACTAGGCCTATGTGTGGGGCAGCTAATCTTTGCGATGGAAGCTGACTCTGTGAAATCGACAGAAAAGTGAAAATGGCGTGAAGCACTTTTGTAAGACTAAAAATACAACTATCCGGGATACAATCCACGTATTTGAAACCAAAAATTACTCTCTCAGATTATGTTCTCTGTGTCAACCAATGGGTGTAAAACATCAACCCTAACCTTGAAAGCAGTTCATAAACTACAAGCTATTTACTGAGCATGCAATGCAGCATGGAAAATGTATTTTGGGAATGAAAAAAATAAATCAGAAAACGAATGAATAGGTAAGAGCACAAACAAGAGTCTGTGATGTCAGTATAAAAGTGAACATGCTAAAGCGGCAATTAGCAAGACATCTTGCAAGAATCGAACATCACTGGAAAAAAACATTAAACTATGTTTCCATCCGGCTCGAATAAAAACTCAACGAATTAATGGACTGGAATGACCATCGAGGATGTCGAGAATTTGAAATACTAAATTTTCTTACCAGCAATAGATATGAGCTACGACATGAAAGTAAAGCGGTGCTTAGAAATGGGTCAACTTTGGACGTTTTCATTTAAACTGTGGTAAGATTGATCGATATGGGCGGCAATCAAGATCACCATACTGAAAGCTACCAAGTTCTCAATCTGATACTCCGTCTCGAAACGTTTACCGTTTTGAAGTGTCAGGAACAAATGCTGGACAATTTTGCGCAACGTTATCTGAAGAAAAGTTTGAAAATGCGATTGGTCGATCGAATTAAGAATGAAAAGATTTAAGAGTAGGAGATTACTGGATGGAAAATGCCGTTTGAGAAATCAGTCTTAACAGGATCAACCAGAGAGAATGGAGACTTAATCAACGCCATTCTCCTCTGGGAAGCAAAGAACAATCGCATAGTGTTACCTTAACTTTCTGTCCACTGACAAGAGCATAGTTAGCTTCATGACGAGACTTCTCTGCATCGGACTTGGCCAACAGCGACTAAATGACTGAAACAATAAGCCCGATAACAGATGGTGTGTCAACCGAACAAAACCTTATAATGATCCACGAGTTGATCAGAGGTGGCTGGTGGAGTGTGAGTCCCCTGCTCAGTGTTCTTTTTTGTCATCAGAATCTTTTCAGCGCTAGGAGTCTGTCGCTGCTCCTTTCCAAGGGCGATATTTTGGTGCTTCAGCTTAAACGAAAACAACACGCGTGAGGCTGCGAACATTGGCAGCAAAAAACAATTAAAAAGCATATTCACTTGGTTGTAGGAGTTCCGCAAAACTTCATGCTCCTGCTGAAGGCTGTCGTAATCTGCTTTTGCCTGCAATATTCGATGTAAAAATGCAGAACGTTTCAGAATCATTACTGATTTTGTATATAGTTATCGCACTTTTTAATAAATCAGAATTGTGTTCATCGATATGAATCAGAAGGAAATTCATTTAGGTTCTAACCATTCATTTTATCAAAGAATCATTAGGCTTTTATATTGGTCAGCGAGTGGCCATTTTTCAATGGTAATTTATTAAGAAATAACATAACATAATTAAAGTATAAACAACAGGCCTATGACAGTGATGGAGATATTTCCAATGAAACAGCACCGTCTTTCATTCTTCAGATGTGTACAAGCATTCAGAGGGATGAGGCAACCGACGCTTCGGTGGGTTTTATGTTAACGCTTTGGCACCACGAAGTTTTGGCATGCATCTTTGTCCATATCATTTGTAGTAATAATATATGATTTTCAAAGATATCAGTAATGAGATTTAATAAAAGAGAATAATACTGATTCTTGTTGAGGAGGCGGGTCAGCGTTGATCGAACGATAAAGCGACCAGGGAGGGGAAACAAAACTTCCTGTCTTTTGAGGCCGTTTTGTCCAGGTGAAGGAAGTCACGCTATAAAACCAGATAGAACTGCTGATGGTCATCGTCCCAAAGAATCCTGGAAAACAGCCCCCAAAAATTGCAACACGTCGTGTCACCGACCTGAACGGGGGATTTTAACTATTAGTAAAGGTAGTGACGGGTTTGAATGATCATTTATTCAAGGTTACACCCTGGATAGTCAGTAATCAGGTGGATCAAAACGAAATGAAACCACAAGGGCCACTGGCATCGGATTACACGTGATTTGGCCACATTAGAACACCATGCTGTCCCTGTTGTTCGCAGGTCAATGATTTGCCAACATTTTTTGGCTCATTGCGCTGAAGCACAGTGAGGCAAATTCGTCGCTCAAGGCAGTTAACGGCTACGATCACTTGTTCTTTGCGGAATTCGAACTGGCAGCTCAAAATTTCGAAGCCCACCTCTGTGTTCCTGTGCCTCAACGCCCCATATCGGAAAATGGAAAGAAACTAATATCTTTTGCGTAAGCTGGATGGCCAAAACCGAAAAATTCTACAGGCTGAACATGTCCAAGCATGTACATGCATTCTCTTGTTACTTCTCCCGATTTACATGGCATAGAGCACCGTTCCCTTGTTTCCGGTAGCTTCTGGAATAGTGCAAGCAGGCCGCGGCTCCACGGCATTTTAGCAGCTGCATCGCAGCAGCATAAAACAGCATCATTTTGTTGGATCAAGCAAAAACATGTTTGAAAACCAACGAATATAACTGTCCTAGGCACATATATCAATACTTCATGCAGCAGTCGCGCTCTGAAACAGTCCCCTAAGCTACTGGATTCAAGCAGACGGAGAACTATGTCGTTTAAATTTAAAGAAGCTACAGGAAAATGTTAATTTTATCAGCGGTAATGAAAACTAGCAGTTTCCTAGAAAATCTATATTAACGAGTGCGTTTTTACCATACTTGTGCGATTACATAGTCATTCTGATTCAGCACTATGCACTTTTTGACATCGGTGATGTGACCATTCAGTACTTATGCTGCAAAGCTGAGGTCGATCTTCAAAATACTGCTATTTATATCGTGAACGTCTCAGCCACAGAAGAGAATTTGCTTCAAAACCAAACAAAATATTATTCACTTATTTAGTCTTGACGGATGTCAATGTTTTCCAACTAAAACTTTAGATATAAATAAAAAGCTAAAAATTGGTATCAAAGTACTTGAAAAATTACGGATATGTAACGCATAAGAAGTACATTTTCACTGCACATTCATTAATATAAATTTTATACTTATATGTCTAGCACTTATTGTTTTATTTTTAATGAGCTATAAAGTGGATCAACAGAACTGTAACTGAAATGCGAACGCCCTAAACAGATTTGCCGCATGTTTCGTATGCTTTGGCATGATTACACAAAAGCACCATGACTGTATTATTAACAGGATCAGCGATCTGTTAATCATCTTTTGAACGGATGTACTGAAACAAAGTAAAGTGAATTCGTTGTTCAAGGTGATTAGAAAATTAACAGGA